TCGGAACGTGCAAAGCAATTCGGATGTTTTGCGGCGAGTTAGAATTTTTCCTAACCGATAGTTTCCAGCCATTTTTTCTCGATAATCACAAAAATCCAAATTTTTTAATCACGCTAAATGTTTGGATGGATATTTAAACAGATTTTTCTCGAGTGGTAACAAGTGATTTTACGATTTTACGATCGAGTTAAAACTGAGTTGACATTTCCTTTTACATTTACATCATAATAAATATATTATTATATTTAATATTGTACATGTTAAATTATCGCATAATATTATACTATTATATGTTGTATAACAAAAAGTTGATAATTAATAAAAAGAACATTGTCAATCAAAGATAAATTCATGCATATTTTTGAGAAAGTTTATAAAGTACAATTTGTTATTTTTTTTAAATCTATGATTTATTTCTTTATATTATCAATATAATTTATTGACAAATTGATAATTCTTTTTTTCTGCACAAAAATTAAATACAGACGAAATTCTGGATTGTCTTGAAAGAAACAAAAGTCGTGATTATTTGTATAAATTTATTTCTATGAAATAAATGCTCGTTTATCACAATTGTAATACTTGGAATTTGCGTTAAATATATGTAATTTAAAAAAATTCCCACGTCGTCAGTCGTGTCGTGTCACGAAAGAGCCAGGCCTGAATAAAATCAATCGATTTTGCGGCTGTACTCTTGACTAAATTGTGGTAGCGGACGCCCGGCGAATGGCACGGGTGATGCATCGTCGGCAATATTCACCTGTTTTAGGTGAAATACGAAAGTATGCTGGCGTTGAAGCTCCGCAGCTCCTCGATATTGCGAACTGTACTGAATTATGAGAGCGTTGCCTTCTACCTCGCGATCACCACCGAGTGAATATTGCGTTCCATCTCTCTGCCGATTGATTCTCTTATTTTGTCCATCATCGATATTCTTAGACGCTCCAGGCATTGACTTTGATCGACTCGTTTTTTTTCCTTTTGCGTCTTATTATAAGCAACATGTAATATAGCATAATAGATACGCGATATTAAATATATAAATAGACATAATAAATATTACATTTATTATGATGCAAATTTAAAAGATCGAACCGTCTTTCAATTCAATTTTAACTCGATCGTAAGATTGCTTATCACTCAATCTTATTTACATCGTATAATATATTTTCCTATCGAACCTTTTTCGCTCTCTTATTTTCGTAAACTTTTTAGTGTAATTCACAAGCACGCGCGTGCATATATCGCGTGCATGTTGAGCAGAGTCAACGATCGCTATCAACTCAATCAACTTTCGGTCTTTCGAATGGAATGGATTATATGATGCGTAGAAAAGAGAGAACTATCGATCGACGTAAGAAGCGAATTTAGGTGGAAAAAGAAAGATAATATACTCGCACCGGATGACGTACAGTTTATCTTTGACCGTCTCTCCTCCGAGGAAGAGATCTCTTTGTCTTTAATAAATTTGTCATCCCGGACGGAAAAGAGCTGCGCTTCCCTCGAGGTGAACGAATTACACGCCTATACGGCCATTACAGGAGAGTTATTGGATAAGAGGATTGCGAGAAAGAGAGAAAGAGAAAGGGAAGCAATATCGATCTTAACATTTTATAATCACTTTACGTTTCCCATGTCTGCGTCTCATACGTATATAAAATGCAATAAAAAAGCAACGATAAATTAGTAATAATCGATGAACTTTTTTTAATAAGTCGCTTTCTTTTGCTAATCCTTTTTAAATAAATTTTTTAATATGATATTTGATATTTAAAGTATTATTTTTTTCTAAAGTATTAAGTTTTTATAATTTGTCTCTGAAATCGCTATCAAAATATTACGTCGTCGCATTGCACTTGTTTTTACAACGATCAAATCTTCTTTTATTTAAGCTCCTTAAGCTGAGTTGCTAATTAAAAATATAAGCTGGAAAATATAAGAGAAGTAATTTTGAGTGAAAAGAAATATGATGATGGTCTCTTAAACATCATAAAATCATTCAAATATATAGCTATCGAATAGAGATGTAAAAGAATCGCAGGAAAATATTTCTTCGTGTCTTGCATCAAGACAGGAATTGCGTGTCTCCGAGAGATGCAAGGAGCAAAATGTACATGTCAGAGAAATAAATTCGAATGTCATATTTTGCCATATTTTGCCATCGTCGCACTTGATATTTTTGCGATATGTGCTGCAACATATTTTAATTTATATTGCTTATAACATGCACTCTTTCTCTCTCTTTCTCTGTTCGCTTCGCGATATATCACGCTCCGATAATTATGGCAAATCATAAGATTTAATTCTCGTAGACGTAGATGATTTAATCGAATCAGCGTCAGCGAAGTGCAGTGTGTTATCGAAATACCAACATGTTTACATTGGTGGTCATGCACACGGATATACCTTGCGCACGTTTTATTTCAGCGAAGCATCCCGCTACGCGATAAATTGGCGGAATTTTTGCGATACGAGTCCGTGTGATCCGGATATGCAAAATGTAAGATTGTCACCCTTATGGCGTGCACGTGTCTCATTTTCGAGTTCGTGTGACTCTGCGCACCAAACCACATTCTTTCTCGGAAGGTATTCTGTAGAATCACAATGCGCGTTGCCGGCCTTTGCCATTTTTTCGCCAGAAAATTTTGCGAGCTTATCCGGCAGCCTCATTCTTAGATAAAATACACCATTGATAACAATACTTTTGCCCTGCCTCATTGTTTTACTCGCATTTCTATCGATGCGACTCTTAGATAATCATCTTATTAATTTTGTGTGTAATTGATCCTATCATTTCTTATTTGGACGACAATAGACTATCCTACAATAGGCTTCTTTGTTGCATTTAGTGGTCTTTGCTCTCTAAAAAAGGAATTTTGTTTTTATAAACGAACGTGCAATATGTCGAATGTTTCGCGTACATGATGCGTGCGCTCCTGATGAGCAAACGGAACGCAAAAGAAGCTGCAGTCTGCAGCCATGTCCGGTTGTTGATCCGCCTGGTTTGCAGACTACAGCGATGCGTGTGTCGAGCAAACGCGTTCTCGCGGTACACACCGATGAATGTTCTTATGCGATGCAATCGTACGGTCGTCACACTGGCGTAACATTCGGTGGATTACCTTCAAATATGTTTTTCACATATACTTGAAATATTTTGGAAAATTGTCAATCTTCATTACGATGTCTAAAATCAGATTACGAAAAAATTAATCCCAAGATTGACTTATTAATCCTTTAATCGAAACTAATTTACCGTCAAGTACATGATATTATTTAATATTGCAATTGTTTCCTGTAAAATGATAGTTTTTACGCGCGTTTATGTTAAATAATAACGGCAGAATAATGCATCGTTCGTGAGAAGATATGCTTATTTAAATTACACTATGCGTCATGCACTGCTGACGTACAGACGGAGGACATGCGTTCCTCCTCTCTGGGAGGTTCTTCTTCTATTTCTTCTTCATCTCCTCTCTTCACGGAGAAAATTTCTCTCAGTATCGTTCCGAGCGTTCGTTGCGAGGGAACTCGCGAATTTTCAACATTGTGCTCCGACATATGTCGTGTCACGTAAAGTGTGTCCGATCGAAAACTAAATTTCCAAAAAATTCCGGTAACTGGAAAATAAAACTCAAACTGTATAACGTGACAAAAAAAGAGAGTCGACATTAAGTCTGAAAAATCGTCATCATTTTATAACGATAGAAAATGATATTTTTTCCTACATTTATTAAATTTCCGCAGAAATTAATTGCGCGAGTTGAATAACAAATATATATACATATCTCGTAAAAATGTTTCTCTTGAAAATTTCTTTCAGGATGTAAGCCATTAAATGACACAAACTTTTATTTGAAATTTTTTTGCGATGCCAACTTTACTCTCCTCGTGAAGGATATTCTCAAGATGACTTTAGAAATTCTATTGCAAATAAAACGCTTGGAATAACATTGTTATGGAACGATCGGTAAATGTCATATAACGATTATAATGTACTGGGGGCGTGGGACGTTTTCTGAATATTAAGAATCATCGAACAATCATCAAGAAATGTGACGGAGATGGGGGTCGGGTCTCGGGAAAATTATGGTATTTGTAACTGAAAAGACATTCCTCGCGGACGTGCTCGCAATTCCGATGGACGGAACCACCGGCGTTAAATTTCGGCATTGTTTCATGCTCGCACAAACGCGCATTCCCATCGACTCTCGCTCTCTCTTTGGTCCTATTTTAGGCTTCTCCGAATCTTGCTTATGACCAAAGTATGAGCGCGTCACGTTTAAATTATCGTGATGAAAATTCTGGTCAATCGTGAAATAATCCAATTATAAAATTATATATTTTCGCCTATTCTTTGCTTTTGTATTTAACGTAATTAGTTATTATTTCGCATCTCGATGCGAGGCGTCCTTCCAGCCAGAGATTGAAACCGAGTCATGTAGCGTCAAAGATTTCCACATTACACAAACGGAAAGATATTTCTCGTTACTTATTATTCATGAGATCGAAAAACGCGATAGTTGGTGGTAAAGTATACGTCGCCTGTTCTTTCCATATCTATAGCGTTGAAAAATTGAATCGAGTCCTCGCGCTTTGAATAAAATGTTGACGAGCGAATAGACGCGGCACCGACCAAAAACCGTTCCAACTTTTCATCCAAGGTTGCCTCTCCCCCTCTCCCCCCCCCCTCTCGGTGGTGTATTCGCGCCGGGTGGCTCGAGACTCGGTCGACCGAGCGCTCTTGGAAGTTTGTTCACGTAAAGAGCACGCGCACGATAGATCACGGGCTTTTTCGATTCCTATATCGTTCTTATCCACCTACGCCGACTGTGGATCGACGGTACCGCGGCTGTTCTATAAACCGTCGAGTGTATTTCACTCGGACCTTCTATATCGGGCGGACGTGCTCTCGTCCGAGAGCAACGCCAAAGCCGTCTTCTTCTTTTTCGCTTCTTCTTTTTCGCGCGGACGATGTCGATACCACACACTTTCTTGCTGTTCGCCAGAAAGTAAGGCAGTTCCGAGGATTGTGAGGTAGTAGTAACGGCGGAGAGATAAAAGAGGAGTAAAAGAGAATGAAAACTTGGTCGGGGAGGATTTGATCGTCGCGTGAAAAGAATCTAACGCCATGTCCAAGTGCTGCTGCAGCTGCATCGACGCCTGCACAACCACCGAGGCGTATCAGCCGCTAAAGACTCACACCTATTTGCGTGACATTGTTTACGAGCCATCCGGAAACGGCAGAAAAATTCTGAGAAGCCCGAGGAATCGTCGCAGAAAGCCCAGCGTTCGTTACGACGTGGTGAGGACACGGACTGGAAACGACAGGTAAAAGAGCTTGTCTCCTCTGGAGATTTATATTCGTCGTAATCGGAAGAAAAACAAAGATGGATTCAAAACGCATATTTAAAAATATTTAATTTTTATACAAAAAGTTTATTTACGAGAAATGATTATCGAAAATTAAATCTCTTCTTTCTTATTATTTTTTTAAAGCTCTATCAAGAGTTTAAAAGAATATATATATATATATATTATCATCATATATTATGATAAAATATATAATAAAAATGCATAATAATATTATATAATTTTTTTTTATTATATAATTTTATATATTTATTGGACAGATTGAAAATGAATCGAAATACTTTAAAATAAATTTTGATCTAGAATGAATATCTCGAGCGAACGAGATAACATATGATATGGTTCAGTTAGTCTTTTACCTACGTATGTTTGGCTCGCTCGAGAGAATTATGTAGCGTTTCAGCGGGAAATATAGCAAACGAGCTAGCTGAAATTTGACGTGAGTTCTCTGGCGTCTCGAGAGCACCGTAATTATCGCGTTTCTGATACGAAGCTAAGCGCAAGATTTACCGCGTGCCGTTATTTGCCCGGGCCGTCTGCGTTTATTCGGTAAACAGCCGCTTCCATATAATATAAGAGATGATCTACGACCGGCTTTACATTTAATGACGTTTTGGAATGTTGCGCTCGCCTTTGCCGAAATGCACGGCGCAATCTTGTTTGCGCATAAGAAAAGCGTTGCAAACACTTTTAACATTCGTTGTCAGGAGACAAAATTAATTCCAAAATAAAAGTTGCGTCGGATAAGCCAAGTATATGAGTAATATATTGTCTTGGAGATAATCATCTTGAGGCTCGTAGAAACTTGTTACGTATCCTCGTATCATATCATCGTGTGCAAGGAAGGTGATGTACAAATCGTGCACATATTAATATTGCACCGATTAAGCTTGTTGCGTATCCGCGTATTCAACTTTTGCATAATTTGTAACGCATCTCTGTTACACAATGATGACACGATACGAGGATACGCAACAAGTACGCGCTTTTAAAGTTATTCAAGAATAATTGAAGTCGTGAAGTGCAACGTGACTCCGTTTCTTGGCGTTACGCGAATTGCATTTACCTCTCGCAAGATTGCATTTATATATATCTCTCGCATTATAAATCTTTAGAATTTACACGTGTCATCATCGGTGCGTATTTTAAAAAAGAGTTACGTAAAAATAATCACATTATAATCACATTTAGTGGCTAATTTAGTAATTTAATTTCATATACAGGGTAGGCCATTTTAATCTACGCACTGAAATATCTCAAAATTCATAAGTTTAAGACAAAAATGTTTTAGACAAAAGTTGTATGGCTTGAGGGGAGACATAAGATGGTGCCATTACTTTGATCTTGAAGAGTCACTTGAAGGTCACATGAAGATCACCTCCACTTTCTAAATGGGATACCCTATATACTTTTACATATTCTTGTAGCTTGCCTCAAGAGCTTTCCAAAACACTATAATAAAGTATTTTTTCATTGAGTACTTTCCGAGTTATGAGGTTAAGATGGCCTACCTTGTATATACTCATAATTTCATTTCATATATATATATATATATATATATATATATATATATATATATATTCATATAATTTCATTATTTTGATTTCTTTTTTTATTTGCAACATTTGCACTAGTTATCGCTTCTTTCACTCTATATAATACTTCAAACTTCAACATGTCGGAAACGCCCAAATGCTATTGGCTTGAAATACAACCTCGCCTCGGCTATCGTTTTGCTCGAACCAATCGTAACGGAACATGACTGGAATGTCGGACCGAGAATGACACCGGCGAAAATTTTGCGAGCATTTTCGGAGCGAGCATGAAAGGGGCGTCGTGCGAGGGGGCGAGCGGCTGGCAGAGGGCGAGGGCGAGAGTGCATCTCGAGGGCGGGTAGACGGTTAAAAGGTCACGTGACTGCCGCTCGGAGGGGATAACGGGGAGGGGAAGAGAGGGTGGTGGGTCTCGTGATTTTTACGCTATCGTAACGGAAGTGCTGTCAGTTCCGCAGGAACTCTGGCGCGATACGGATGTCCGTGAACCGCTATTCTATTGTGATCGCGTGTGATCGATTGTAATCTCGCGTTGTAACATCTTCTCCTCTTCGCTCCTCTTGCGCTTTCTTTCAAGCTTTGCTTTGAGGCGAAACGTTATTTTTTCCTTTCTCCCTGCTGTGCTCGTTTCTCGCGACTCCTTCTCTCATTAATTAACTGTCCGAGTGATATTCTTGCGACACAATCTCAAAGAAAAAGAGAAAGAGAGAGAGAGAGTGAAGCTATCTCGTCCACGTAGAATATACACGGTGATCCAAAAATCGCGACTTTATTCATTTAGATAACAATTTGCAAATATTATTATTTTTATATAAAATATAAGATTACTTTTTTCGCACACGAGAAATCGCATAAAAAAAATTGTACGCTACGATACGATTGTATTTCGGTACCGAAAAGTTGAGAATTAGCTTTGTTATGTCGCTAGGAATCATAATAAAATCGTGAGAAAATAAAAGCTATACAATATGAAGAGATTTGAATTGCAGTTTAATTAGCGTCGTTTTAATACACTCGCAAACAATGCTCTAAAATAAATCTAGTCTCTGTTCGCTTCTCTTTTACCGTGTTCAGTGTAACGTGCAATTTTCACAAAGAAGCATTCGCAAGCACTGTACAAAAAACTGTACAATTGTTAATCCGACATCCGTTTGCGCGTCATCTTGAGATGAATGTTTTCGGAAATTGAAAGAAATAAAATTTATTTTGCAACGAAATATTCTCGAGTACAATTGAAACGTCAAAGTAAAGCTCGTAAAGTTCAAATCTTGCATCGAAAGGAATATTTAGTCGGCGGAAGTGCTTTGCTCGAGAGCTTTAAAGCTGTTGGTACGGTGCATTATCTACGCAGCGATATAATATCCGCGTCTCCCTTTTATCGCCTTTAGACTAATTTTGCACAGCGCAAATAATGCATCATTTCGAGCGAAATTGCCGCATCGCGTGCGTAAGAACTGTAATTAATTCCATCGCGTAACCGATTCGTTGCTGAAGATCACGGAGCAATTTTAACGTTCAACTTACGCGGCGATTTGTGCGCGAGGCTTCGAACTTTGAAGCTTGCCAATAAATTATTATCGCTGCTGTTGCAAATATAACCGTAATCGTGAAATTAAGCTGGTAAACTCGTCTATGTCGAATATTTTATTCATAATGACAAACGAAAAGTTAACACCGTTTGGATGAAATATTCTGTCGGAAAGCTATCGTCGAGTTTTATTAGTTTTATTCATACGACTGCCGTCGTATCTCGATTTCCGATGCTTTAAGGATGTTTTGTATGTGCAATCTCAGCAAAAAGTAGCTGAAAATCAATATTGACGAATATTCACTTTTGGTGTATTTTGAGTATGAGAAATTGTGTGGAATATTACAATTTAATCTTAGCTACAGCGCAGAGATGTATTTTTTAAATATTTATTGCGTTTTTATTGAAATATTCCGAATTTTGTTAATCGAAATGATTAACTTTTGGCAGAGAATTTTGCCTTGTGACAGATACATGGCTAAAATTTAGTTGAATTATATTCAATATGTTTTTAACCAGTGAATACTTGTATAATATTATTTGACCAAATATTTTCTCTGTATCTAAACTTTTGCAAATTTTAAACAAATTCTGAATATTATTTCCATGTGTTTTTATCATTTGAATCGATGGTGGTTACGTTTCCCATAAAAACACATGTTAATTCGGTGCAAATTAAAATCCTTATAACTTGTGAACGCTTTAGTGAATCGATTTAAAAATTGTACCGAACATTCTAAACATATGTAAGGACATTCCGTACAATTTTCATGAAATTCTCAATATTTTGAAAATAGGTACAAAAAAACATCCTTAAATATATTCAATCATTATCCAATGCGTACAATTACTCGCGAGATACAACTCTCAGTGGTATACCTGCAAATCATATAATATCCCGTTAATTATACCATTTAGAGTTTTATAATGAAATGACGATTTAGCACTCCTCTCATACATCCGTTCGTTACGTCGAATTGCTTGAAACGTAATCCTGACCGCATTCCTTTGCGTTTGACTTTCGCAATTTATTTATTTTAATTAGCGCGGCGTTTCGCTCGCCACCGTATATTTCGTTTTAATGGTATCTAACGGCGTCCCCTCTTTTATTTGCAATTTCGCGCACGTTCGTTAGACACTTGCTCCTTTTTTTCCGTCGCGTTTCGCTAACGAACGAACGAACGAACGGCCGTTATTTCACATCGCAGGCCGCGAACTGCACGCTCGTATCGCGGGGTGAAAGTGAATGAGTCGTGTATGACGTTCACGCGTGTCTCGCGTGCATGCGCGTGCATACATGCCTCGTGCATACGTGCCTCGTGCATCTGACGACGCGCGGCTGTCGACCACGAGGCGATCGATCGATCGCAGTAAATTCCTTTAATTCGTGTCGCGCAGGGACATCGATCGTACGATCGATCCTCGCCCACTTTGTACGCTGGATACCAAATCGAGGTGAGGAATTGTCGGGATATCGATTGGAAGGGAAGGTCCCGTTCCGATATTGTCCGAGCGTTTTCAAGATAGTCCATTACAGTTACCGATGAAACACTTTCGGAGCATTGGAGATGTATGTGTGGGCAATGATTTTAACATTAATTCTATATCCAGGAGAATCCTCGATATCACTTATTGAAAATCTGTAAAATATAGAATTATATGAATATAGAATATACGTGAAGATATATACAAAATATCACGATGAAAGTATACATTTTATAATGAAAAGAATGTTAAATCTTGAAAATTTGTTTGATTGAAAATTTATAAAATTTATTCCATATAGCTTATATCGCGTGTCGTTGCCTTAAATCTTGGGATTTAATGACTGTCGCCTCTATTTGTTCTCTCGACCGATATTATTTTGTCGATTATTG